TGCTGCTCTCCCAAAATAGTGAGCAAAAAACCCCAGATTTGATTACAGGAACACTGCAGAAAAATACAAATATAGATGGTACTTTCATCCCTTTTTGGCAATGGCTGAATCATATGGTAATTTCAGCATTGTTTGSTTTGCTGCTGCAAAATTCCCAGTACACTTCAAAGAAGCTCTTACTTAATTCACCTGAGAAACAAATTCTCTTTCAGCAGAGGAGAGACATGAGGAACGAGAATCACTGTGATGATGCTCTGAGAGTTAATAACTGAAAATGTTTAAAATAGACCTCACATCTGTTAAAAGTTTCCTTTTGATTAAGCACCCTCCCTGAAGGAACAGTCTGCAGAGGCAGGTTCAGGAAGGATTGGGGTTCTTCCATCTGCTYTGTGTCTCACAGATGCAGATTTAGCCACGTGTTCCTCCACRTGCAAAATTCTTGTCTAGCCACCAMGGGAATTTTATTCCTCATTTGATAAAAATTCACTGGTAGTGGTCCTGTAAATCACTAGTCAGAAACAATGAAAAGAAAGTTCATATTGCGAAAAATACAATGAATAATTGTGAAAAATACAACGAATAATTTCATRCTATTTTTAAAATTCAATAAAGCAAGGTGCTGTCTGTTCTCCAGGTAAATTATGCTGTGATATTGAGGCTGTAGCACAGAATTCTACTTGGCTTAGAAATACTAATTCTTCCCTTCTGTGCATGTTCTAGCTTTTCTCAATGCAGAGGTGCATTATTGAACACCCAACCTTGCAAAAAAAATCAGTTGGGCTGGAGCCTGCAAGATAACAATAGAGGTATAGAAATACAGCTTCTAAAGGTGAAAAGTACATGAAAGATTTGCAAAATATTGTCTTACACGTGGTGAACTTTCCTTTTGGAGCTGAATTGGATGTGTCCGTGTGGCTTCCATGCAATTCTACAGCAGGCTGAGAGGAGCCAGTGTGAATCTTAGAGCTAAATATCAGGGAAAATCCAGATTAGCTGTGCTAGGTTATTGACAACAGCATGCTCACACCCTGCCAGGCAGGAGTTTTCACATCAGGCTCCATTTTCCCATCCAATTCCACCCCTGAAGGACAGCACAGCTCAACTCTCCTGGTCCCAGTCACTCCTGTCCCAGAATTTCACCTGATATTGGATAACCATGAGTGGGAAATTCTCACAAGAGCCACACTCCAACTGCTCCTTGGCAAGCCTGGTTCTTGCAGCACTCATTAGCCCCTGAGAGTTCCTTATTTCAAAGGGACACTTACACTCCTCTGGCTTCTGGGGCTCCTCCTGCACTTTGTGAGCACCACTTAATAACAAGCAGATAAATCTAAAAACTGTCAGCTTGGAAGTCTTTTGCTAATTTTTGTTTCCCTTTGATCAAACATGCAAACGAATCACTTCTACTGGATCAAAAAGCAAAYTCATGAATTTAAAAAGGTCATTTAGAGCTGCATGGTGGCTAAATCCCACCCTGGTGTGGAGGAGAAGGAGGGAGATTGAAGCAGATCTGTCTGGTTCTGGTTCAACACAAGGATTTTCAGAGGCAGTTTCACATCTGGGCCTTGCCCAAAGGGCCAAAACACGATGGGCATTTGGGTTTTGTGCACCACCTCTGCCCTAAAGCACWGAAAAAGAGGATGATTTCTTTATTTCACAGGAACCAAAGTGTTGTAAAGGCTTCTTTGGCCCCGACTGCAGACCGTGTCCAGGAGGTTTCTCCAAACCCTGCTCAGGAAACGGGCAGGTAAGCACAGCATCCCCCTGCACTCCCAGGRGGAAAGATGAGCTGTGTCCCAAAAATCCCTGAGCATTTCTGCACAGCAGGGCTCCACAAGAGCTGCCCCCTCCATCCACGTCCAGTGATGGCTGTGAGTTCCAGGTTCAGTTATTAGAAGRAGGGAAAATGGATCTGTCACCTCTCAGCTGTCCCAGTTGCAGATTTCCAGGGTCCCAATCAAGGCTGAGTGGCCCATCCTCACATTTTTAATTTGCACAGCACAGAGWAATGACCCAGCTCACAATTCTCACATGAAAACTGCAAAGGAAGGTAGAATACATAGAAAAGGAAAGAAAAAATAATTTTTTTGCCTTGAAATCCCTTTTTCAGCAGAGCTGGTGTTCTTCCTGAGAGTCTGTCAGAGTCCCCAGATATGGACAGGCACGCAGTCTCTTTTTTAGGGTAAAATCTTGTTTGAATTCACACATAACCATCCCTTCCTCCCCCACCACAGTGCATGGATGGCCTGGATGGGAACGGCACTTGTGTTTGCTCCGGGGCGTTCCGAGGCTCTCACTGCCAGCTCTGCTCAGACCCTGGCAAATACGGACCTGGGTGTGACAGGGGTGAGTAGAGCTCTGCATTCTCAGCACAGGGCTCTGGGCTGCTGCTTTTGGACCCTGCTCATGCTCAGGTAGGAGTTGACTCATTACTAAACATCCCTGTGGAGAATCAGCACAGCCCGAGTGCATTTTGATTTCTTATTTCAAAGGGTTACATCATTATCTCAGAGTCTCTGCAAGCACTCTAAATTATTTTTTGCAGAGGGCATAGCTTGTTTTATACTGATTTATTTTTCTTTTGATTTCTGTCTCTCTCGCACAATTAACACAAAAGAAAACCATTGCTTTTCTATTCCCATCTGGTATCACCCACAACAAAGCATATTCTGCCTGCAATGACAAATGTRKAATCTRARAACAACCAGATCTAKAAACTGGTTGTTTTTAGGCCACTTMACCATCCTTGCTGAAAAATTTCTGATCTCTTGAAYAGTTCATAGTTCTGCACTGACAGATTAGTCCTGCTGAGTCAAACAATGATTTATTTGAGAGTCTACAGCATATAAAACATAAAACA